AAAAAAAAAAAAAAAGAAAACTGTTTTGGAAAAAAAAAGTTATTATTCTATTGCAGTTATAATTGTTTAGTTAAAAATATAAAATAGATGAGTTAGAAGTAAAGGAACAAATGAAATATAATCACATTTTTGTCAACATTTATCTTGTTGTAAAATATTAGATTTTTATTATTTTAATAATTATTATAAAGGTGATGCGAATGTGTATGTATATCCTCTCAAGCATATTCATAAGCACATTAACTACTAAGAGCATGTTTGTTTATGGAAATTTTTAAATAATTTCCAACATTTTAACTCAACTATTTTTTTAATTCAACTTTAACTCAACCCCACTATCATAAATATTATCAATATAATTAAATAATATCAATCAATCATTCATACACCACATCAACCTTAATTCACTATTCATCCACTCACATTATTTTAACTAACCATCACATCAAACCATCTCTTTCTGGAATTTTTAAATTTAATATTTTTTTCATAGTTTATTAGAAATATATATTATATTGTACATAATCGTAAATTTCTTTGTCGCTTATTTAATATTTAAATTTGATTAAAAAAAAAATGAAATTTGTTCCTACCTCAATTAAAAGTCCGGCTCCGCCCATGAAAAAATAAAAAATAAGAAATGGCAGTTGTTAGTTTTTTTTAAGGTAAAATGGTCCACGTTTGCGGGCGAAATAGCTTAATTTAATGCGTATTCAAATGCAGATGGTCTTCCCCTTCATATATATATATATATATATATAATTTAAAATAAGATTAAGAAATGCATATAAATACAAGCAACATCGTAATAGCAATTAACAATACACATTATTCCAACCAAAAATATTTTATATAGACTGAAATTATATGCTGATGTATACATATTTTATAAAATCTATTTAATTCGTGTCCCTTAGATCTACTTTTCCATGAGATCACAACACAATTTTTACCCTGCATGCAAAAATGGGTTCAAAGATCTGTGAAAGTAGATAGATTTAAGACAAAGGCAAAACACATTTGGTTCTTTACAATGTAGAACTGGAGAAAAATTCCCAAAAAAATTGAGGAAATTACATTGAAACCTCAACTCAAACCTATATTTGCCCCCAGAAAGTGACCAAGCCAAAGACAACTTAGCCTTACTCATATATATATATATATAGCAGAGCCCTTGTCGAATTGAAAAAAAAAAAAAGAAGAAAAAACGACGTGTATTTTCAAACGTAAAACACAACAACACAACCCATCTCTCTCAAGACAACCTATGCAAATAGGCAAATGACGAACAAATATACAATGTGTGCATGACAAAAAAAATTGCAAATTCAAAAACTGGCTCGAAAAAATTAGCCTGTCCTCCGTAATTTCAGAAACACTATGAAACAGGGACTAAGTTTAGCTCGTGCGGCCTCAAAGCTCCTTGAACAATTTCCTGTACTGATCTATTTCGTCTGCAAACCTCAGACAATTCTTCAATAGGGATCATTATGCCGTTTATGGCTGCACCGGAGGCCGCATCGGCTAAGGCTTGCAAAAATCTTGACCGTTCAATGTCTGTTATGGCATTTGGTGGAATTAAGGAAATACTCTCTGTTGCCCACTCTAAAGCTTTTACACCATAGGCTCGAGTTAGAGCTAACAGTGCATATGTTACCTAAAAAGAATGTTAGCAGAAGTTCAGGAAAAAAACTCAACAACCTTAAAGGGTTTTATTTTATTTTTTTTTAAAAACATATTTAATGATTAAACTTGGTATTACTAGTTTTCCAAGACGAGCATTTTGTAATTGTAAGTAAAAACCCCTCTAGAGTACTTCTGTAATTATTCTCAAAATATTGGATACTCAAGGAGTTTTAGAAGTTCAAACTAACCGTTTCTAATCGCGAACTAGGGAGTGCTCCTGTGAGGGCAGCCACAAGAATTCTGGTGATTGCAGCACCTCTCGGAAAGATCACATTGTCACGTATAGATGTGTAAGGTTTTCCTTGACTAGAGTTTGCAATATCAAAAACGTCCGACAAGAAATTCAATATGGAATTCGAGGCTTCCCTGCAGTGAAATGATTGAAACTTAGTATCTTGGGATGTGTGTGTGTGTGTGTGTGAGAGAGAGAGA